GGCGCCGGGCTGTGTCGCCTTCCCGGGTGCCGGGTCCCCGCTCCGCCGGTGCCCGGGTTGCCGATGAATGGGCTAACGTGTTGCGCTCCCGTTCCCTGCTTTACACCCCTGCAAACCCACTCCGGGAGACGGGGACGCGGGGGGACGCACAGCCGCGCTCGAATATTTTCCCCTTTCTGTTTATCTCTGCAGGTAAAGTGGAGCTGCATGGGAAACTCATAGAAGTTGAACATTCAGTCCCTAAAAGACAAAGGTAATTTATTTTTATTTCCCCCCCACCTTGCCCTCAGTTACCCAGTGAGAAGCAATTTGAAAAATGCTTAGGTTTGTGTTTCTCTTCCTTGTAGATAAATGGACCGCTTTCTTAAACCCACAGGCGTGCACTCTGCTGTCCTAGAGGTTTTCTAGAATCACCCCATGTATTTCTAATGTAGTGTCTTGTCCAGGCAACAGTGGTAGTATTTAATTTATTTAAAAGAAAAAAAAAAAAAGCCTTTTTGTGGGAGAAGCAAGTTGTTATGGCCTGATGGCAAATGATTGTGAAGATTTTAAAATTTAAAGTTCTGTGAGAAGAGTTAAAATCTGGGTGTTAGCAGGAAATGAAATGGGGTGTTGTGAACTGTGTAACGGGCAAGCAGATGAGCTTTGCTCCAGCAACAAAAAGCATCTTGTAAATATACTGGTATACATATTTTTTTGATCCTGCCATGTTGGAGTCTGCAGCATTTTATGGGCACGTAGTAGAAGTCTCATCTCTATTTGAGAGGATTCTTCATCGCTATTTTGAGCTGGTCTATAGAAGCAGCAGGAGAATGACTTCTTCCCAATAAGGACAGGATTTATGCATCCTTAATTTCTAAACGTATGTTTAATTTTTGCAAGGTAGTAATTTTGTTGGGCCTCATGTAAAGAAGCAATACTTGCAATAAAGCAGGGTAGTATTTTTGTACTGCCTATAGCAATTCAGCCTGCTTCTTTCACAAATATTTAGATTATAGAAAACCTGGCGTGCACTAGAGAGTAAAAGCAAAATAGATCAAACTTTCCACGTGCTTGTTCCTGTACTCCATTATTCAATCTGGGAAGTATGTCTGTCTGTATAACTTTGTAAAAAGGGGCTTCTACTATTCCAGGGTTATTTTTAAAAGTGCAGTCTTTTTAAAATAGTTGATTTGAAAAGGTGAATTAGCTGTCTTGATGGGCATTGTATCTTGGTATTTTGAGAATTAGGAGTTTAATCGCTATTTAGTATTAGAGGAAAGCTTTGCTTGAGAAACTGTGGAGGATTTTTGCTCTAGTTAAGGCAGGGGGGAACCCCTCTCTGGACCAATTCATAGCATGCTAATCTTTATGGTTATATTTATTTGATACTTTTAATTGGAAATTAATATGCTGTATATGTTCTTTCTCATTTATTATGCAAGGTATATGGCTTTGATTTACAGTAGCCTATATTTCAGATCTTTTGTGTATATAAAAATACTGTTGTAGATGGAATATATTTTTAGATTTAAGGAGAAAATTCCAGGGGACGTAAGAATTGATCATTTCCTATTAGTCTCTGTAATAAATAATTTTATTATCATGCTTATTAATCTTAAGCTTGCATAAGTAGTATTCTATTTATGCTGTTGAAAACAAATTCATTTCACTCATATAAAGGTAAATTTAAAATCGCTGGTGGCCCCCTCAACTTTTTTTATCACTTTTTTTTTATCACTGTTCAATGTGTCTAAAAGTATTTTCCTGTTCTTTCAGCTGTCAGCTGAATTGGTGTAAAAGTCAGTTCTTCATATTGGGTAGCATGTCTTCATATTTGTCTGTGAATTAGCAATTATCAGAAACATGCATCTGTCTGTAACTTGTTGAAAAGGATTCTGCACTGAACTTAAGCACTTTTCTAGGCATGCGTTGCCTACATATAGGCATAATATTGAAAAAATTGCAAATGTAAAAGCCCTTATTTGTTAAAACACTGTTTGATCGTGCAATATAATGTTGGAATGTATCAGATACAGTTCAGATTTATACTGCTGTTTAACAGAAAATTAAATTGCATTTCTCATAACTGCACTTCCTTCCCCTTTGTTTCCGCTCCCCCTCTCCCAAAATCAAATATAGAAAGCCACTTAAAATTCATTCAGTGGCCTCCATATGTAAAAGTGACCCTCTTGTTCCTTTTATAGATGCCTAATACTTTTCTTTTTTGGGGGGGGTGTCAAAAAGTTGGAGATTTTTTCAATGTCTCTAAACATTGCTTACTGGGCGTATATTTAGAGTTGCTAGATACGTGTAAAAACACAGTTTTCAAATGTTGAGTATTTTGGTGAAACTGGTTATTAAGGTGCTTTCAAAATAACTTATTTGAAGTCTTTGTATCTTTTTACACAAGGGGAAAGGTGTTGGATGCAGCCGGGGGTGTGTGTGTGTTGCTCACCAGGCCCACCCAGTGTGTTTGCATGCTGCAAGGCCAGGGAACGCTTTCCAGAGCCTTGTGCGCTTCAGTGTGTGAGATACGGTTAGAGCAGTGACGCCATTTAAAAAAAAAAAAGTGGATGTGTCAAGCCTGTCTTTCAGCATGAGTGTACGATTAATAGTTTGGTCAAATGACTACTTCATAAGAGCAAAAGTTGTTTTGTGGTGCACTGAAATTATTCAATACACTATATTGACCTCTGCTGCTGTGAGGCTGCTTCATGGAGAGTCCTAGCTCCCCTCTTTACAACCTCCTTAAATATGATTTTTAATTTTTTTTAGCAGTGTGCGTATATTATCACTCGCAAAGGTAGTTTGTGGGTATCTTTCTCCAGAGGCGGCTGAGGTGCATGGGAGGAAAGGGTAAGGGTTTGGTAATCCATATCCTTGTCACATAAAGGAAGGTCAAGAGGTGGTGTCAGCTAGGGTTGCCATAAAGTTGAGCTGAATCCAGAAGACAGTGGAGTGTGCCTGGCTTGTTATTCAGGGTGAAATTCTTGGGCCCAGTAGTCACTGCATTCCAGCCCTTGCTGGATCTTCTGATTTGAAGTGGGCACACCCAGGTTTGCAAAATTACCTTCCTACCTGCTGTGGAAGGAAGGAGAGAGCCCAGTGTGTGGCTTTCTCCCTCCCCTCCCTCCTGGAAGCATTTAAAAACAGACAAGGGGATATGCTGCGGTTTAAAGAGGAGGGCTGGTCAAGGTTTCCTTGGAAGGGTGGAGAATTATTTTGGGGGAGGTGCAAAGTATTTAATAAGCTCGGAGTAGATTCCTGACTTACTACTGAAATCACAAGGGAATGCCAAAGGAATGCAGCGTTTCTGCATTCAGACCCCTCGGTGTGGAGGAAGGCTATTGCAATATTTAAAGGTTTAGGTCACTTTATGCAAAAGTTGGAGAAGGCATTGTAATAATTCTGACTGCTAGTCACGCTCTGCCAGGTAAGGCAGGGCACTGTTAGTCACGATCGCTACTTAGATGGGTTTTCTTCTCGCAAAGCAGCAATGCAGGAGGAGGATGGTGGCAGTGTATAGTGTACGTGCGCCCGTGCCCCTGAAACTTGTGGCGCAAGGCTTTGGGTACTACCTTGCTGCAAGCCAAGAGCAGCTGGTATCTCGCAAGGTGATGTATGCTGCAATCTGATTATTCAAATGGCCCTGATGTCACTTGTGCGTGATGAGGGGGGAGGGCAGGTGCTAACTCTGGGCACCTGGGGATGTGTCTGGCGCAGCGTCCTGGCCCTGGCTCCCACCTCTAGGTGGGCTTCCCACCCAGACCTGGTCCACCATGCCTGCTCCTGGGGCCTTCAGGTGCCTAAAATGCTCACAACACCTCAATTGTGGTAATGATGAGGTGTTTTTCCAATTAGAAGGTTAATTATTTCCCCCTCCCTGCCTCGAGGGCTCTTTGTTGGGAAAATAAATTCACTACGTCTCTTCTGGGGGGTTTGTTTGGGAGAGGAGCTGGAGAAGAGGGTAGTGAAGGTGCACCTTGTAGGTAATGCTGCCCCGTAACAAGCTGTGCTACAGGGAGCGCAATGACCTGCCAGCTGTGCTTCACCTCTAATGCTGAAGTATCTGAAGGCTGATTTGAGGAAAACAGGCCCAAAACCCCTCATGCAACCATCTCTGTTCCAGGGGCGAGTGTTACGCTGTTGGATGGGCATTGGATTGTGTTGCTAATTTTCAGTATAATGAGGGTTTGTATCTTGTGCGTGCAAGGCGGTGGGAAACGGCTTCGCGAGGCTAAAGTATGTATGGTGGCTACAATGGGTCACAGTTATTAAAAAAAATAATTTAGTGGCATTGATTTTTAGTTTTGCTTCTGTAAATATCGAGCAGGGAGAAACATGCTGAATGTAAGAAGACATGATAGAAAATGTCATTTATTAGCCGTATTCGTGCTCTTTTCTGCGGAAAGAGGTGGAGGACTGTGCCTGGGTCCAACCAGAATGTTTTTGAGAGTGAAGGGCCAAAACTTTGCACAGTGGTTTTGGGTATTTATTCTCTGCTTCCACATTTATTTTTGCAGATGTGAAGGGGAAATTAATTTTTTTCTTTTTTAAATCTTTGAAAACTTACAATTAGAGTGGAAACAAATCTGGATAATTGTGGTGATATAGACAACGAGGCATTATGGCAAGAACAGATAATTCTTCACTAACATGTTAACTGTTATGTTATCGGAAGTTTAATTTTTATAACTCCTCATACTGTTTGATCATTAAAAAAAAAAAATTCCTTCTTGTTGCAGCTTTTAAAAATAAGCTGTAGTATACGAAACAGCTCTAAATGCATGTCCTGAAAGGTTGGTCCTGCTCTCTTTTTCCTACCTTCCCTTTATAGAAGGTACCCCGAGAACATACTTGTAGTGGACCTTAAATTGTGCGTAGATACGGTGAATTTTGAAGGGGTGGAATAAAAAATAACATTTTGGAAGTGTAATTCAAGGGTAGCAAAATATAATCAGGAAATGTTTAAAATTTTTTTATTTCTCCCTTTTTTTTTTTTCCCCTCAAGCATGGGGTAATAGCATTTTTCACATTTTTGAGACCTTGAAGGTGGTATTTTTGTAAAATGGGGCTGTGTTCATTTCAGTTGCTCTTTTAAGTGCAGAGCATAGGACTCTACAGTGCTGGAGTCCTTTTATGGCTTCTGGGTGGACTTCAAATGCTTAGTTTTGACCTGAAAAGTTCTTAAATGGCCTGGGATTTGCCTACCTACCAGAAAATGTGAAACTTCCCATAACGGCCATGAGAGAGGGACCCAGGCGGAATTCA